GACTGGTTTTACAGTTTTATACACGCGATACAACAGCTGCGTGGAAAATAACAGATAAGAAAACTTGGTTTCCAGTTAAATTGCATGAGAAGGTTCTTTCCTTCTTTCCCCTGAACTTCATCTTGTCTTCCCGGCACACGGAAGCTTCTGTTGCACAAGGCGAGCTTTACACAGCTGGCATCGGTAAGCTAATCGTGCTCACCTATTGCTTTCCCGTATTCCTTCAGCAAAATGGCCAAGCTGGAGGAGCTGGAGGAGGTGGACCTGAGCGGAAACATGCTGAAGACCGTCCCCACCACCATTATGAACTGCCGGCGGATGCACACGCTCATCGCCCACTCCAACGCTATCGAGGTCTTTCCTGAGGTCATGCAGCTGATGGAGATGAAAGTAAGCCGGCAGCAGCAGAGCATCTCGCGTACGAGCCCCCCCTAAGCTCTCGCTGAATATGAATTTGCGCGAGTATTGACATCTTGTCTTGTTGTTGTCAGTGCGTGGATCTGAGCTGTAACGAGCTGAGTGAGATTACTCTACCAGAAAATCTGCCTCCGAAGCTTCAGGAGCTGGACCTGACTGGAAACCCTCGCCTCAACCTGGACCACAAGACCCTCGAGCAGCTCAAGTACGTCATTGTTATTCTAAGGGTCTTTTCGATCTGTTTGTACGACTACAATCTTCATTTGCACATCTGATTTTGTTTATTTTATTTAGTTATTGAACATTCTGTGTCATTTGTAAATAAGAATGAAGCCCTCTCAGTGGTTTATGCATCCTAATGCCTCAACGCGATACAGTAAAATTGATCTTTTTCATGTTTTCTTGTTTTCCAGTAACATTCGCTGTTTCCGTATTGATCCGCCTCCAACCTTTTCATCGAACGAGGCGTCTGGAGGGCCTGCTGTGTGGAGTCATGGTTACACAGAGGCCTCGGGCGTCAAGAACAAGTAAGTAGAATCCAGTCAATGATGAAACAACCACACGGCCATCGCACTCGTCCATTGAAGCCTCGCTAATCAAAACCTGTTGAGGCTACGCATTGATAAAGCCACATGACTCTAATGAAGGAAATATTAACGGGAATCATGCACATTCACATGCCAAAGCACCTCAATTCAAAACTTAGGTGTGCGTGCTGAAGAAAAGATTTGAGCAAATGCACATCTTGCGTCCATATTTTTCATTTTTGTAGGTGATGCTTGATGAGAAGATGACAGAGGTTTTTTTTTTGCCGTACAGTCAGCTGAATCACAGAACGCTTTGTTTCCCTGGTTATTAGTGTGCAGAGAAACACAATCGATATGTGAACAGAGGAGTTAGTGTAGTTTTGAAGCTTTCATTGTTTCCTCACAGAACACATTCCTCTCTCTTTTCAGACTCTGTGTCGCAGCCCTTTCAGTGAACAGCTTCTGTGGGAGTCGTGAAGCTCTGTACGGCGTGTTTGATGGAGACAGGAATGTGGAGGTGCCCTACCTTTTGCAGTGCACAATGAACGACGTGCTGGCTGAAGAGCTGCACAAAACCAAGAGCGAAGAGGACTACATGACCAACACCTTCCTCGTCATGCAAAGGTACACGATAGGCTTGACAGGGATATTAATGCATGTTCCTCATTTGATCTGTCATTCTCTTATATAAAAGACATTTATTATACACTGCAAACCTCTAATCTTTCCAACAGAAACTCTTACGTACACAATTAACCCTCCTCTTGCCGTGTATTTACTCTTTTGCAGGAAACTTGGAACTGCAGGACAGAAACTGGGCGGCTCGGCAGCTCTGTGTCACATTCGCCACGACCCCACCGACCCCGGTGGCTGCTTCACCCTCACAGCTGCTAACGTGGGCAAGTGCCAGGCCATCCTGTGCCGTGATGGAAAGCCCTTGTCACTGTCACTGCTTCACAATGTCGGGCTCGAGGACGAGTACCGTAGGATCCGGCAGCACAGGGCTATCATCACTGAGGTAGAGATCCAAAGCACATTGTAATCAGCATGAGCTGCACTAATGTCTATTAGATGTGCACTGCATTGATTTATATTCTCTGTTCTGCAGGACAACAAAGTGAATGGCGTGACGGATTCCACACGAATCATGGGCTACTCCTTCCTCTACCCTTCCGTCATCCCTTGCCCCTATGTGCAGACGGTCACTCTCACCCCCCAGGACGAGTTCTTCATCCTGGGCAGCCGTGGCCTGTGGGATGCGGTGTCCCCCACCGAAGCCGTGGAGGCCGTTCGGAACGTCCCGGACGGCCTGGCTGCTGCTAAAAAGCTGTGCACGCTGGCGCAGGGCTACGGCTGCACCGACAGCCTCAGCGCCGTCGTGGTCCAGCTCAGCGTGAGCGAAGACTGCTGCTCCTGCTGCTGCTCCGAGCCCCCCCAGCCGCCTCCCAGCCCCGGCTTAGGCCCCTATCCCCCCTCGTCCTCCGCCATCAAGGAGCGGCCCTCCGACGGCTCCCTCCCCGTGCCTCCATCCTCCTGCAGTGAAATCAGCAGCGAGATCAGCACCAGTGAGATGAGCAGCGAGGTGGGCTCCACGGCCTCGTCCGACGAGCCTCCGCAGAGCTCCTTGGTACTCCTGCAGGAGCAGCCCCACCACCCTCACCTCCACCTGCACCATCAAGCCCACTTGATGTCCCTACAGCAGCAACAGGCCCCCACAGCCACCCAGCCCTGCCAGTATCTGTTCCCAGCCTCAGAGCTGCCTTCTGCCCGCAGCTGCTGCGCCCTCCATCCTGCCTGTTTAGCGGGCTCCTTTCAGAGGCAGCTATCTAGTGCCACCTTCTCCAGCGCCCTGTCCGACAACGGGCTGGACAGCGAGGACGAAGAGCCCATTGCTGGTGTTTTCTCAAACGGGAGCCGCGTGGAAGTGGAGGCGGACGTCCACTGCCTGAAAGCAGAGTTGTCCTTGTCCTCATCTCCCCAAACATCAGCGCCCTCCAGTCAGGAGCGCGTCCTGCTCACTCTCCCCCCGCCTCCACCGCCGCCGTGCACCCCGGAGCCCCTGGAGGACGGGGTCGACATGAACCACGGGGAGACGGAGAACGGGCTCGAGAGAGAGGATTCGTGGCAGGGTGTCGGAGCGGCAGGTGGGGACGGAGGGAAGCTGGCGGGCAAGAGGAGGATTAACGGGTCGGTGGCGCGGCAGGAAAAGAGCCACAACCTTATTGAGGTGGCCGCCGATGCTCCTTCTAAGAAGTCCGGGGGTTACTTCACAGCTCCAGCCCAGCCCGACCCAGACGACCAGTTCATCATCCCCCCCGAGCTGGAGGAGGAGGTGAAGGAGATCATGAAGCAGCATCAGCAGAAACAGCAGAAGCCGCCCGGGACCGATCAGCCCACGGATTATTACGACACCCCTCTCTGAGCAGCAAACTACGGCCTCGTCTCCTCTTTTTCATCAGTCCAACCGCTCGGATTTTCCCACGTGTGGACACAAACAGAGTTTTCCTCAAGAGGCTGTGAGATGCACATGAAGAAGTTCCATCGAGCTTTTTCCAAGCAGCCTCCCGAGCTCCACGCAGCCTCGTCATTGGAGAAACATGCACTGTAACCCGCTCCACCCAAGCAACTCATAGAATAAAACAAGCAAATGAGCCCTTTAATGATACTCAACCCTCTTGAATAGCCTGTGGACACGGTTTCTAGTGTCCATGGTCGTGCCCTTCTCTCACAGACTGTGGAACGTTATTTTTACATTAGACAACCAGCTGAGTATGTAATCAACACTAGTCTCTTTGCAATAGCGTTAGCTTGCCACAACACCTGTTAATATGGATAACAATTCCATGGTTTGTTTGTTTGTTTGTTTGTTTTGTAAGAACTTACCATATCTTTTAATGTGAAAGCAGTGAAGTTGCTGAAAGAACTTTTTAAAAACAGACACATAATCTTTTTATTATCAGTGAACTATGTTGAATGGTACACCATTAATACCACACCTAACTGTTGTAGATAGGGCACTTAAAATACTGTATTTCTTCAGTAAATCATGGCTCTTGGCCTGTAAAATGGCATAGAAATTTTTTGTAGAAATTTGCAATACTAACTCCTAGGAGTTGCATACTCTTTATGGTGACTCAGTCACTTTTACTAATCTTCTCTGAGAGAAATGGTGATTTTTTTTTTTTTTTTTTTTTCCAATGATTGTAAATAAGAGAAATGTTGTATACTGATGCTTTTAAAGGAACTGCGTACCTGTATGTCGGTGAAGGTTTTAGTGGTGGGGAGGATGTGTTGTTTGCTGTTATGGAGGTGTCACCCCCCCCTTTATCTTACAACGTAGACCCACAAAGACAACACACACACACACACACACACACACAAATAAATATTAATGTGCAATTGCAGGTCAGAAAACCCAACATTCCATGCAATACAGTACACTAAGTTGCGATGGTCTGCTCCACTTTGTTTAATTGTGATGTCCTGTAGTCATCACTGTATCTATTGAACACTAATCGACAGATCTTTGCATGCACACACACACACTCAGACAAAACATACACACACAAACACACACACACACACGGACACTCACAGGTAATTTTAGTCCCACCTCCCTCCTGCAGTAACTGTTATCACCGGCATGACTGTGTCAAGTTCAGTAATACAAATATATCCACATGGAAAAGAGACAACACAAATGTTCCTGTCTTTGGTATAATAAATTTTAAATTTGTGAATATAATGTCACGTTGTCCGGGAATTGTTTTTAATAATTAACGGGGGAAAAAAAACAATCTATCAGGCGGCTGGGATGATCGTGCAGTTTAAAACATTTACAGAAAACTTAATTAAAAAATACTTTATTTGACATAATAATACTCTTACATTGTGCTTGTGTTTTTACATTAAATAACCAGCAGGGGGCAGTCTAATGCCATGTTTTGATCATTGCCTGGGGTTTTAATTCAGCATTTAAGGGACGTGCTTTTGACAAATTCCTTCATTTTATACATCAAAGCCTGGTTTATACAGTATTTAGTGCAAAAAATTTCAACTTAAAAAAAAGAAATGCTCATTTATTTTACATCCAGTCGGCTGTTTCTGCTGTTTTCTTCTGTTCAACAAGTTGTAATCAGAAACTAACCGAGTTTGTCACTGACGTGAACGTTTCCCATGACAAAATTGCTGCCATCAGATTGTTTCTTGTACTTCTTCCTCACACAGAAGACGCTGACTGCCGTGATCAGCAACATGGCTGCCAGCACAGACAGAGAAGAGGCGAGCGCGAGGGTGGTTTTATCCTTGGTGGTCCCCTTGTGCTGGCAGCTGTCCCCGTAGTACCACCAGTCGTCTCCCACCGCGCACCTGGAGAGGAAGAAGATGGACGGGAGAGAGAAGAGTCAGACTGAAAGGTATCGCAGTGTTCATACAGACCATGTAGAGACGGGTGGGAGGTGGAACTGATTGACTGTCTTTTATGGTGCTTTGACGGGTCTGTTTGTGTGTAATTTTTGAAAGTTCTTCAGTGAAGACTAGCAAGTAGAAGCTAAAGTGAGCAGGTGGTTCGCTTCCCTTTGCACAAAAACTGGAAACAAGAGGAAAAGTCTTTATTAACTCTGTCCAAAGGTTGCAGAAAGCTACTGTGCATGGCTGAGAAATAGTCCACTTGGGGTTTTTTTCTCACACAGTCCGACGAGAGAATCGTAGATGACTAACCAACCATTATCTATACAACGCTTAATCTTCACAGGGAGGGAGGGGGGGGCTGACTCAGGGTGAAGGCAGGACAGGTCACCAGTCTATCACAGGGC